GATTTATGATGCTCTTTATAGCCTTAAAACATCTGCAACATTTCAAAGCATTCTGGTTAGCAGATTAAAAATTAAATTTCAAAATGTTGTTTTATAATTTTGATTTTTTTTCCAAAAATCTGGACGTTTCGGGTGAAAAGTCGATTCGGAGTTGTAAACTACATGTGTAGGACTATGTTATTTTATACAATTGAAAACCCATTTACTATGTACAATTTTGAAGTGACGTCATCGCATTAGTGGTGGGGATGATTAGACAAATTTTGGTTAGCGTTTTACCATCTACATGATATTCTTAATATAAGTACAAAATTTCACAACAATCGGTCGAGTACTTTCGGAGATTATCTGTCTAATAAAAATCCGGGGGCAGACGGACAGACGGACGGACAGACGGACGGACGGACAGACGGACAGACAGACGGAAATGGGAGACCTATTTCTTCGTCTTCTAGGGGTCATGAAAGATCGAGAAAACGTAAAAGTAGAGAGTCGGCCGACGGACTCGATTACAATACTTCCTTTGCTTACGCTCGGGAAGTAAAAAGGCAAATCTATTTTATTCTTCACATGCTTCATAATTCCATGTTTATTGGCCATTTTTGAGAACAGTCAGTATAGGCAAAAATATTTTCTTCTTTTGTGGTTTATTTTTATTAATTTTGTGCTCGCCGTTTTTGTCAACTGTTGAGAATATTGTTACAGTTTGATTTGTATTATCTCCATGTCCACACTTTTCACATAAATTCTCATATTGTTGCTTTTAGTCAGCAATTTCTTATGGGCCATTTGTTTTTATTTTCTCACAAGAACCGTAACAGTCTATTTTTCAAAATAAAGTTGCGAAAATTTCTAGTTTCAAACGTACATAGTAAAATCTAATTTGCTAGAAATGAATAACCTTATAAGCATTACTATGGCAGCATCATGTATTTAAATAATATATAACATATTGATTGCAAAATTTTGCTAGGATTAGACATAATTGAAGTTTACTTTACGGATTAGCTGCTGGTTGTTATGTAATAGAATTTATTATCACGTTGACATGGATCAACAATAGGATGAAATTGTTACGGATACCAGACGTCACAGTTAAAATTACCAAAATATCCTTTGGTGCAAAAAGGACAGATTATGGATAGACAGATAAATCCGTTCAAAAAAAAAAAGGGAAATAAAACGTACTCTGAAATTTTGAACAACAACTTTGCAAATATTGAAGAACTGCAATGTCAATAGATCTACGACAACTGAAAGAATTGTTCAAAAATGATTGTCAAATGGTAGCGATATGTTTTTACTTCCCGAGCATAAGGTAAGGAAGTATAGCGATCGAGTCCATCGGATCAATGGTTACTTTTATATTTTTTCGACATTTCCGTCTGTATGTCTATATGTCTGTCTGATGTCTGTATCTATTTTTATTAGACACGTAATCTCCGACACTACTGGACACCAACAATTTGATGATGTCATTTCAAAAAATTCTATTTTTATTTGATTAACTGTAATACAATATAGTTCTATAAGTGTGGTGTACGAATCCGCTTTGACTTTTTCCCTAACCGTCCAGTTTTGTGGAAAAACATAAGGCACGTTATAATAACAGTTTATCATTAGCGTAAAGCATCCCGGTGGTGATCTAGTTGTTACGAGTTAGGAATCCAGACCGGACGTCGCGCGTTCGATTCTAAATTTGGTCTTTCGTTTTTTTTCTTATTTTTTCCTTTTTCCTCTTTTCCTCTCGCATTGTGTATTATCTACGTTAATGACGTCATAACAATTTTTTCACTTTCTCGAGAAGGTGAGAATACGCCCCTCTTTATTTAAAAATGTAAAACCTTCTTGCGTGTCCCAACTGCCTTTTTAAAAATGTAAAACCTTCTTAGGGGCCCCTAATGTCTTTTTTTTTAATGTGAAACCTTCTTGGGGGTCCCAACTATCCTTTTTTAAAGAAGACGAAATCTTCTCGAGGACCCCAAATGTCTTTTTTAAAGAATATTAAATCTTCACGGGGCTCCCAAGTGTCTTTTTTTAAGAAGGTACAACTTTTTTTCTATTACACTGTGACTAGTACCTTGTATATGGTTTTTACTCCATAGAGGTTAATCACAAAAAGGTAAAATTCCGCAAAATCTAATTTTATAATTTTTCATAGAAGCAGTATTTGTTGGACTGTACTTCAGAAGCGAGAGAAGTTCTGTCGAAATAACTTTCGACCAATTTTTTTAATAAAAAAGTACAATATACAAAAACGGTAGAAATAAACAGAATGGATTTTTTATCGTCTTTACTTACCAATATGATGACATTTAACATTGTACCCAATTCTTTGACTTCATTTTTTAAGCTTAAAAAAGTTGGTTAGTTGATATAATGATTTGTTTCTTGGATTTTACTTTCATGTAAAATTAATTATTAAACTTATCAGTTTTAAATATTATTATTAGTTATAGAAAATGCAAATAAGATTATTTATGAAATAAATCTACAATTTGTTAACTTGACCAAGAAAGCTTGGGCGGGGTCGGCTGTGAAACTATGCAGAACACAAAACCATGTCTAAATATTAGAAACTAACCAATTTTCAATTTCATTCACCGTTTTTTCCTGTTGACTTAATAGGGGTATGCTCAAAAATTTAACGATTTTCACTCATTGTCTCTCAAATTTTCAAAAAACGTTTTGAAATGTATTGAAGACTAAACAGACTAGTATTTTGTAGAATGTGAATATATTTGCGTTTATTTATTTTTACAGCTAAGTTTCATATTTGGGAACGAATAAATTGTATCTTCTATTTTCGTTTTAACGTAAAACCCGAATTTTTCAATTTGAACTGAACAACTTTAAGTAGCTATAATTTTCTTATAAAGTGAATATTATGTGCTTTTTTATGTTGTTTTCGATTTTCCCTTGTGCCATGTTTTATAGTCTAAATATAAAAAGTACCCGCTCTTTGCTCATTATAATTCCACTGTTTTAAATGATTTCAATATGTTAAACGCTACAGTGAATAACATTGACTTGTGACATCCCATATCTCCGATTTTCCATATATCATCGCGTTTTCATATTCCCTTGCCGTTCTCGACCTGTAGTCCGATAAAGCTTTTATTTATTATTCGGCCAAAAGATTACAAATGTGTGGTCCGTTAGGAAAAACTAAATTACCCACCATTAATATAATTCCACACACAGTATTAAATTTCTTGCATTTTGATGTTATCAAATTCCACCCTTTATGGAGCTTTCCTGCCCCATTTTTCAGCAAATAACGCATCCATCTGTAACCTAATTATTTCACTCGCCATATATCAATTTTCTCTTGCATTCGGTAATGTCTAGTTTTCGTTGAGCGTGTCTGGTTATTGATTTCTTGTCCGCTAGGTGTACATGTCTGTTAAAATGTACTAACGGAAGCGACAACCGGGATAAAATATATCATCATTTTATAAAATAAAAACTGTCCAACCGTAAAAGTAACAACATAAATTACAGCTTGTAAACCGATAAACATGGATAAAGTGAAAGAGCTATAATCCATCACAATTCATTACGCTACCCTGTTAAAGACTAATTAAATACTGTGTTTTTGTTTACATGAAATTTTAGCGTTTTTCTGTACTGTACAAATTGCATGAAAAATTTATATTGCGGGGAAAGACTGTTTTGTTTATTTAATCTCTCATGTTTTTGGTGCGTGTACATGTGTATTTGTTTTCTGACGGCTCAGTTATGGATATGGGTAATTTAAAAAAAATTATTTGGAAATATTCACACTAACTCACTAATATTTAAATTTTTTTTTCACTTATACGATGGAGAGATTAATAGCAACATGAAAAATCAAACAGATCTATACTCTTCGAGATCTTTTAAGTCGTCGTCGTTGTTTTTTTTTTTTTTTTTTGGCTAATTGTTTTAATGTATTCTGTGTACTTCGTTTTTCGCATACGCATAATCAAGTAGGTGTATTTTTGTAAACTGACGTTTCATTAATTAATTCAAAGCAAAGTAGCTAATTTTATACGCCCTTGAAGTTTATAATATATGACCAATTTAAGTCGTTAACATCTTTATTTAATTTTTGAAAATTAAAAAAAAAAAATTAAAATTACAAATATTCTTTTATGTAAGTATGTGAGACAATTTTTGTAATTAAATTACAAAAAATTTATTTGTAACGAGAACTTTTTGTATGTTACGACAATAATTTTCTTCCAAATTCCAAATTATGGCGTAATTTACATTTTTAAGCCTCTTTCAACATGGGAATTTTAGGAATACCAAATAAGAACAAATTAGGAGAAAATAAACACTAAATAAGTCATGAATTACTGTCGCACACCACTCTAGAAATTATTGTAAACATAAATTCATGAACAAAGTTTCAGGGTATTGATTTTTGAATGCAAATTAGAAAAATAATATTGTGCGAACAATGAAATAATACTCTAAAACGCTAGGGCGGTAAAGATGTACTTTATGCTCTACACAGAATAGGTAAAAACTCCACAATTTGCGAATGCAGAAGTAATGTTGATAATTATGTAAATCATGAGACAAAGAGACTAGCGAATGCCACCTAGGTCAAAGTCCATTTGTTTAATATGTAAATTGGTAGGTAAACATGAACGTGAATGAATCATTTCTGGTTTCTTATTATCATTATTACGACGAGGGAACTGCGAGCCATCACATTGACTTAAATTAAAAAAGCTTCTTTTCAACATCTGGCATATTGTATTGTTTCTGTATTTCATTGAAAGAGAAATTCACCTTGACATTTATTTCTAGAACAAGAGAAAGATATTTTAAACGTTTCCTCTGGTTGTGGCCAACAAATAACACAATATTGTTTTCACTTAAACTCGCCGCAACCTTTCCTCAATCAAGTGAAAAATTTCTACCAGAGATTACTAACTCGGTTTTGTTTTTATGAAAAATACAATGCTTCTATTGTTGGCTAACACTCGTAATTATCATTGTTTCAGATTTCGATTTGAACTCGTGGATAAAATATTACGAGCCGGCCCATTACGATCCTCGTTCTTTGGTCGTCCAACACAATCGTATCCGGAGAAGTGTCGGTCAACAACAGCCGCACCACGTCCAATTAGACATTAAGGGACACAACCGGTAAGTCTTTAAGCCCTAGGAAAACCAATAATGAACATGTGTCACCGAAGACGTGGCATCTAGGACGCTGTGAAACGACATTTAGGAATTTTAATACCCGATATTCTGATGTGCTGACTTGGAAACGGGTTTTCCGGCACGATATTCTATAAAATTCTTCATGTTGGCGGATTTCGGTAGTTATTATTCAATATGTGTGTTACCATTGATATGGGGATTCGGTCCCTTTTTACCGCAACACTATACAACACTTGAAAACGTTGCATTTCTAGTTTTAGTTGTGTTTTGAGATTTTTTCATTTACCTTAAAGGCAAAGTGATAATTTGAGTGTTCTAATAACTCACATAAATTGCACATTATTTTTATTTTAATATGCAGTTAGACATTAAAGAATCAATGTTTTAGTGACATACTTACCAATAAAAATTGATTATTGTAAGTGATTTATGTTTTACTTTAAAAAAGGACTAATATTATGTATTGATTGTTGACCACAATAACAAATTATGCATTTTGAGACAAATACAAATTATGCATTCGTTTAAAGTAGAAGAGGTATTTAAGAAAACTAATAAGACTGATACCATTATGGTCTACTTGTCTGTGAAAGTGTCAACATCTGAAAATACTAGAAAAATTGCAGTCTTTTCTTGCTAAAATATCGTCGTGGGGCTATTGTTTGATTCTAGTAGTGAGCCAAAGTGGTTGTTGTCTTTTTTCGCCTCTTAGAGTCCTTTGACGCGGTATTTGAAACTAGTTTCCAAGTTTAGGGTGAAGATAAAGGTCACAGAGAGCAACATCACTGATATAAAAGGAAAGTTGTCGACAGTTCATGCCTTTATTGAATAAAAACTGTGTTGCAATATTTGCAGCATATCAAGATCCACTGTTCCAACGTTGTTGTTTATGCAGAGAACGGCAGTAAAATTAATTGTATGTGTTTCTTATCGAAATAGAGAGAATAATTTCAGGTTCTGTGGGTAGTCAAAGAGTGGATCTTTGTGAATAACAACATTTCTAGTGTTTTCCGGATCAAGTGCAGTAAATAACATTAAATTTTTCTTTCTTCCAATAGTTTGTGTTTGTTTTCGAAATCAAAAACAACCAAAATAATTAAGACTGTATACAGATATAGAACATCACTGGGTAAATAATCTCAGTTCATTTATATAAAGCGGTAAGGGCATTAATTTCATTTTTTCCTCCAAAACTCTGGAACATTGTCCATTGATTCAATTACCACACTTTCAGTGCAGCGTACAACAATTATTTAATTTAGATCATAAACATATTTTTAATAAAATAAGGCTTATCTCTCAGCTTAATAAAGCCATAAAAATATCCTAATAATCAACTTTTTTTATAAAGAAAAGACCTTTGGAGGTGAAGTAAATTGAGTTTTTAATTTAATTTTTTAATGTTGTAATAATATTAAATATAAATGCTTCTTCTTAAGGCTTAATAATACTGAAAACAAAAAAAATCTACGCGGTACTTTATTTAAGAAAGGTATCGAATATCACAGCAACTGCATCATATAGGTAACGTAAGTCACATCCATAAACATGTGCCTAAGATGAGAACAAGATGGACGAGTCCATTCTCAAAAATAAGAGCTTCCTTTAACAAGGTGATTTTCATACCATCTCTGGGTCACTTTTTTGCAACGGTTAAAGTAAACGTGACAAAATATCAAGTTTAAGTTCACTTTAATCCATTCGGAAAAATACCACTACTCAAATAATATTAAAAAAAAATACAAGTAGACCTGTCCTGACCTGACCTGACCTGATTTGACCTGACCTGACCTCCGCGGCCTCGTAGGCATAACCAGTAGCGGTCCGTAGGGACCGAAATGGCGCTTAAGGCTGGCGTCTGGTTCGGTTTAGCCCTATACTAAATACATTGAAAACATCGTCGCGGTTTCCGGAGTTGCATTTTAAAAATATGAGATATATCGCTTTAAAAAAATTATATTTCGAATTAACAAACTTCAGTCCAGGGGACCTCCATATTTATATTCATATCTAGTATGCAGTTTTTACAAAAAAAAATTATAAAGTTGAACAACTTTTACATCACATTTTAACCGGCACATTGATGCATTTTTTGACGAAGTGCTGAAGTTTTTTGCATTCTGAGATAGGAGGTCCCCTGGGGAAAAGTGTCAGCTTTCTTTTGATACCATTTATAATATTAAAAAATCCACGACTGAGGTAAATAACTCGCGAAAAGTCAAAATCTATTGAAACGAGAAATCGGCATTAAACGAGCTGTGATGCGGTAGCAGAATGCAGGTTTACTTAGATTCTGACTTAGTTGGAGATTTCAGAATGTTAAAAATGCAATTCCGGAAACTACGACGATGTTTTCAATGTATTTAGTATTGGGCGAAACCGAACCAGACGCCACCCTTAAAGTGATAATGAATTTTGTACTTGCTGTGGTCCATAAAAAACTGAAATTATAAAATTTGCATTTTGTTGTTTTATTTCTTCGTCTTGATATAGATATAATTTTAACCGTAAATTCAAATCCAAGGTAGCACGGTCCCGATAAGATGAACATATATTTAAAGCAGATAACCAACGGGAAAAAATGTAGATGTTCTCAATTTCGAAGTACATGCTGAATTTCGATTGTTTATGTTTGTTATCCGAAAGAATTTGACAATTCGCACGTTCAGATTACAAGCATCAGCGATTAAAAAAAAATGAATTTGATTAAATAGCTCTCCTCAAGGCAGAGCAGAGAACTGATTCATTAATTAACCACACTTAGTTTTTTTCCAAAAACACCCACAATTTATTCTGCAAAATCGGAAGGTGGCGGACAAATTTTGATTAATGATTTACCATGCTTCCAATGACCTTAAATTATATGCAAATTATAAGCATTCGGTTTTTGCTATTTCAATGTTAAATTGTAAAATATTGTTAAACAATTTTGATTTTTTTTCCAAAAATCTGAATGCCAAGAGTAAAAACTCAACACGGATAGTAGGGTATCCCTTATATCGCTGAAAAAAAATTTTTTTTTGCGATATCGAAATGCATACCCTCTATTTCTTTTTAAACTATCTAGACCTACTTAAATACAAAATTTTATTTTCCTACGTCACCATTAACCCGTGCCGACAAGGCCCTGAAGATTTAGGAAAGTCTATTTTTGTCTACACCCGCCAAGCACCCTGGACGACCTGGTTCTCTTTGTTTTTGTAAAAATAATTTATCTTCTTCTATTTTCATCTTTCCAAAGCATCCGCGTGTACTACATATATCGAAGAAATTAACTAAATTGTTTTGAAACTCCTCTTCAAGGCGCTCGTAAACTTCGTGTATTTATTTGGAATTTTTTGCAATTCCCTCCAAGCATGGTGAAAATCCACGAGTTTTTTTACACAGTTAGGTACAGCTCTGGTATGGATTCTAGCTTTTTCACAAAATATAATACACTCTCGAATCACGAGATTTGAACTTTAGCTAACAGTCAACTTAACTTCTTGTATGAAGACCATTCGCTGCAAGTCGGCACGGGTTATCGTACTGCAAATAAGGTCAAAAATTTATGTCTGAGTATTTTAGGAGTAAATGAACACAACTAAGACCTATGCATTAGAAAATAAAAACTTCGAAAAATAAGGGACACCCTAACGGATAGCGACGAAAATTCCGGCGACGGTCCGGAATTTCTCCGATAACACGTGGGGGTGGCGTGCCTCGGTGCCACGCCTTGAGCCGAGTAGTGCCGCTGAATAGAAGAAACACGTCTGGCCGACCTAGGCTTACACGGTTACCTTCACGTTACCAGGGGTGGCGCCTTCAGTCGGTGCTCGGGAGCCAGCTTCCTCTACGGGGAGAGAATACCGGGATTGTTCTAAAGCCGGAGACACGGATCTCCAGGTGATCTGGTGAGCGCCCGCGGAAATGGGGGAAAATGAACAATATTCGGGTTTTTGTTTCCTGCCATCAGCTAAAATAATCTTAAATAAAATTAGAAATCGGTTAACAAAACAAAAAAAAAAAAAGACTTAAACGTCTGGTACGGTCGTTCCTTCCTGGACAGCGACTTCCTTCGGGACGGACTCCTCCTCGTCCTGGGGGGCGGCGATCCGAGAACGGGAAATCGCGCGGTGGAACACGACGCGTGCTCAATGGTTTCGGCTTATTGCGGTGATGGCAAAAAAACGGTGACAGCGGTACGGAATATCTGTCTAATAAAAATCCGGACAGACGACAAACAGACAGACGGGCAAGACAGACAGTCAGTCGTCAGACCCCTTAGTTTACACTCAGGAAGTAACAAACACATCTTCAGTACTATCAGAGAGAATCCATTGCAATGAGAATTTATATTTAACATATTGAAAAACATTTTTTTTTCACTCAATACCCACTTCGTGAGTTATATAAAATGGACATCATATAATACAACTATTATACTCAAGACAAGAGCGTACCTTGAAGTTACATCACTAAATCTAGAACTTCACTTTTTGGATGTTGCCTAGGTTTTACGACTTTTTTGTTACAATGTAGTGATAATACAACATACATAGAACAGTTAGGTTTGGAATAAAAAATAACATTTAAATATTTAAAATTGTCAAGTCAAGCAAAGAGGTGTTGCCAAAGAAAGGAAGAAAACTACCGAGTAGTTTCGACCACTCTTCTTTATTTCTCGCACACGTTACGAAATCTTACAGTAACAAACAAAAACAAGACAACCTTAAACGTAAATGAAAACTAACAATTTTGAATAAGACGAGAGAGAGAAGGTAACACAACTCTAGACTCCACACAAAAATATGCAAGAAAAAAATTATTGAAAGCAAAAACAACCCGCGGGAGAATGTCCTGACCGACCACTTCAAACCCGAAACAGTAACTAAACTTTGTAAGAAAATTTTGCAGCCAAGTCGTACCTTCCTGATTAGGGGGGGTACTTCTTGGCCAATCACGTCCTTTCGGGGGTGGTTTCTCTCAGGAACTTTTTTCTC